TTTCCAAAATGTTTTAGTACTTTTTAAAGTTTTAAAAGTGATATATTTACAAAATTACACAAAAAAGCTAACCCTGTTTAAGAGCATTTTAACAACTACATTAACGTCTTAGGAGTGAATAAAGTAAAATTTTATATTTTGGACAATTATTTTCAAATTTCTGTTATACCTTATTTTTTTTACTGATTACATAATAAATAGTTATTTATATTCATATTTAGCACACTTTATAAAGCAATTCAATTTATTCTTCACATGGTTTGATATTTGCCCTCAAAAGATCTATCGTAGTTAAGCCCTGAGTCAATTCAACCAATCATACTACTCTAGTTACCTACTAAGAAAGATAAATTTACTATACCAAAATTTTTGTAGCACACCACATAGAAACAAACATATAGTAGTATGAGCAATGAAAAAAAAAAATAAATAAAAAAAAAATAATAACAATAATAGTAATTATAACAAGAACAATTACAAACACTGTATTTACAAAAACACAAAACATTTTATTGATATATTATCAAGTATTGTATCGTTACATTTCATGTTTTATGTTGGAAATGGGTGCAATTGATTTACTACAGACTGTTGCCAAGAAGTGGGGAAAAATATTACGAAAAAAACAGAATGTGATGTTATGAAAAAAATGACTGTGGTACTAGTAAGGTACATTAGCTAAAATGAGCTGTACTTCTCAAAATGAAATTTTTATGATTCAGACATAGAATTGATCAAAAAGACATATGAGAAGAATGATAAGTATCAAACTTTTAGTGTAATGAACTGTTTTAAGTTTAAGAGTGGAAATCATCAACGCTTTCCCCTGTCAATGATGCTGCGCAAATTTAGCTAACATTTCACCATAGCTACCTTTGCTCATATCCTAAAATGACAGCCTACAGTAAAATAAATAGTAACAATAATTACACGATATCTCCACTTTACATAAATTGTACTAATGACAATTGACGTTCAATATACTGTACAATACAAGATAAAAATAACTGAGTGTACTGACTCTAAGCCAAACAATCAACACTTGTTCTTATCAAAAGAATAGTGCCCTCTACAACTTGGTGAAGCTTAGCGCCCTCTACAAATTGGGTTGCATCAAGTTGTAACCACACTGAGGAGTACACTCATGCGAGTCATAGAATTTAACTGCTGAGATTCTGTATATGAGTGAAGAGCCCTGTGGTTACTTGCTTTTGAATTAGGTATATATGAAGGCAAACAGTAAGTGAAAGACAAAACATACGAGAAAGCATCAATTTCCTAGCTGACCCTTATTTGACAACCAAATGATCTGATGCTATAGCCCCTCCTCCCACACCTCCCAATCCAATCTATCTATCTAATTTGATCATTCAAGTTGAATACAACTGAAGTCTATTTTTAAGATTTGGTCCACTCATTCAAATTTTCATTTAAATGATAAATTCAAATTATAAGCTTTGATATTATAAAACTGATAGCTCTATCTTCATTCGTAATTTTTATCTATTTTTCCTCAATTTGAACTTGAATTTCTTCATCCACCTTTTGCAATCGTTCATCTTATCTCCGCATTTTTCTTCTTTACTGTCTGTCCTTTTAATTTCATCACATTTTCTGTCATTCAACAGACACTTAGTGTGTATACTTAAACATAAATTCCTTATAAACACATTAATGTTGAAATTCAACTGTGAGGATTGGCTGATTCCTGGATGCATCGCTTCAACTGGTGTAACTCTCGTAAATGTCTATATTGATCTCTTTCTAGTCTGCGTTGTTCACCTTCTGCATCCTAAAATATATATAAAAAAATTAAAATATGAGATAAAAAGAAATTTGCCAATAGGCCATCTGATAGTTAAGTGCACATGTCTATGTAAAATGTCAAAGCATAGTAACCAAATCATGTCATATGTATCGTCTGCATTGTGTAGGATTTTTCAGTTTCAAAGATTGGTGAAATTAAACTGTTTACATAAAAATAAAAATTCCAGATGGTAGTACTCTATAAGCCATTTAAGTTTTTGTAGATATTCCTTGAACTTTGGCATCAACATGCATACTTAAAATTTCAAGTATGACAAGTATTATAGAAAATATGTTTATGGATGGGGAAAGAAAAATTTTGAAAGAGATTACCTTGCAAGATAAAAGAATGTCTAAGTAATTTCTATTAAAATTTTTCTTTCCCCATCCTTCAACATATTTTCTAACTAATGAAACTGGACTAATGTCTAGTGGTGGTAAATATTTTAATAGAGGGAGTCTTACCTGTTTTTTAGATTGAACCTGTCCTGCTAACTTCATCAGCTCTGAGTTGTGAGCTTTTAGTTTGGAGATCTGCTCGCATAGGATTGCTTTTTCCATATTGTGTTCTATATTAAATTAAAAAAAAAAAATAATAATAATAATGATAAACCAAACATTGAATTTTAATTTTATTTAACTGTATAGTGTAAATTTTTAGTCAAGTGGTTGTTATCAATTAGCAAGAAATTATAAATAATTGTATGTGATAACCCCGACAAGAAAACATTACCAGTAGAAATGTGATGTCTGGGATATCAATTTTGTATAATTTGAGTTAACAGATTGCACTGTTTTAAGAATATTTTGAAATCAGATTTGAAACCTGAATCAGGCCGGAGTGCCCGTC